AAAATGTTCCCTACTCATATGCGGCTAAAAAATTTCAAATTTAACTTTTCCAGTGCGGCCTTTCTTGCGGACCAGCAACTTTCCACTTGTCGAATCAGTGAAGTCGACATCCACAACTGACATACCACATAGTTGCACAACTAACTTCCCGAACTTCGAGGGCCAGTATGCCACAGGGTTAGCTACTGTGATTCCTTGCGATCTTGCTACGGCACGAAAAGTGCAAAAACGCATAATCGCACCGGCCCGTGGTGCGTTCCAGCCTGGGTTTATGCGTTTTTGCCGTGCAGCGTTAGAGCGCTGCAACAGGCAGCAAAAACGCATATTGGAACGACCTTTTCTTAATTTTTATGGAGAATCGAGTGCTGCAAAACTAAGTGCGCTGAATGCAAAATATTCTCTCAAAACCTAACATTCCGCAGCAACTTCATTACTTACGAAGACGAAGTGCTCACTCTGCCACAAACAGCCGCTTACCAACAATACTTCCTCCCTTGGCTACTGCTTGCTGATGTGCAATGTAACTGCTTGATTTTCCACACTACCTCTGCACCCCAAGCAAAGAATCCGAGACGAAATTTTTCTCGTAGAAAACCTGCTAGCAAATCGCGCAGCTGTGGGCCGGAAAAGACAATCCTACTGGACACTAATCCAGTGATTGGGACATTCCGTCAGTGACTTCCAGGCCACAGTAAAACAACGTACCAGGCAGTCTGGGCGGTTGCATTATCGGTGTTGCGGGCGAATTTGAATTAGCTGGAGTGGAGCGTATATTCGAGGATGGCGAAGATGATGGGCCTGCGGGCGAAGGCGTCCAGTACTGAAAATTACAAGTGCTTCGGAGTAAGATCGCTAAAAAGCGGAAAATAATGGAAACCTGTAATAATCGGGGAGCTGCTTTCTGCGCAGTGCATCTCACACGAACAAGGCAAATCCACGGAGGTACAATAACAAAGGTAACAGGTGAAGTGGAGCAAAGAAAGTGAAAATAGGCAAAAATTACCGGCAAAAAAATGTTACACCAGGAAATCTATTGAAGCGGACGAAATTTCATGTTGCATGAAGCAAAATTACACAGGAGCAAGAAACGAACAGCAAAGAAGTGAGTGAATGAGAGAGAGAGAAATGGAAAAAAAGCATACGGGTTGTTTATAAGAGTCCAACTGGGCTGCGCAAACCGCCGCCGCCGCTGATTGCTTATCAACCACCATATCCCTCAGCCTAAAACATCATCTCTCGATTGAACAATAACTTGGTAATAATCCCAGGCACACACACACCCACACACACACACACCGTGCTGTTGCTGCTACCACGCCAGCCAGACCCCCGCAGCATGCCGAATGTGAAGTTGGATAAGAGGGAAGAAGTTCACCTGTGCGGATCGAGATGTCCCAGAGGGCTCGGCGCTTCGCTGAATGAGGAACCGGGCGCTGGCGCTGTGCCGCTGCTGCTCGTTGCTTCATTGACCTGCAGTTAGGCACTTTTACAGGGCCTTCTCTTGCAAACGCACAAGCTTACGTTCAGCGCCAAATCACGTGCTGCTGCTGCTGC